GAGGGGAGCTGCTGCATTGTAAATTTTGGTCAATGACATGAGACAAAGTATATGTGAACTGCTGTATGAAAAGTGAATTTACTCTTCACCCAAATACTAATAAAATAAAAAAATATATATATTACTTATTAATAGTAATAACAGTGAAAATAGTAACTGATGTTCATTGAACATGCACTGTGTACCAGTTCAATTAAATTAAAATTTTTGAAAGGAAACATGAGATTTTAAAATTGAATAGTAACTATCTCTACAATTCAATTTTTCTGCATGCACAATTTAGTGGGAGGCTACCTAAAATTTTTTTCCTATCCTACAGATACCTTTAAGCCAAAATACATATTTTCAGTATTGTAGGTTTGCTGACTCCATAACCATCATCACTTCTCCAAGCATGTGTTGCTTCCAAGGACAAAACGTAAAGTATATTAATGTGAGTAGTACTTACAATACTGTTCCTGTGATTTTTCTTATTATTCTGAATTGGAAGGATGAATCATTTCGAAATTCAACTTCATAGTTACGGTCATCAGCTGTATTTGGGGGAGAATCAATATTGAGTGGAACTTCAAATCGTTCATTATTAGGATCATAAATCTAAAACAGATTAAAAGATTAAAAAGTATATTAATTAGAAAAAACAAAATGATCTAGTTCTAATGTTACCAATAAGTGAAATGTGAAAACTATAGTTACCTCCATAACAAGATATTATGAAGTTCTTAATCACATGAGGTTATGACATTTAACACATTTGATTAATAAACACTGTCCTAATGAAAAATACTGACCATCAATATGGTCATCAACTCACCTTGAATCGGAGCCGATCCTTGGTATGGTATTCTATATCCATTGCAATTGGGGAAATATCATCTCCAAATAAGGATATAGTGTCACGTTTGTTTAATATCATCCTAAAAGATAAACCAATTTTATTAACCCAAGCAAAACTTATTTATTTTCACAAATGACTGGAATTCCTCGGACATAAAGAATATTGATTAGCAAGGAGACAATTTAATGTTGTTGCTGTTGTTGTTGTTGTTATGTGCCGTTGAGTTGGACCCGACTCATAGCGACCCCTTCCTGGGTTTCCAAGACAGTATCACTATGGAAGTAGATTGCCCAACCTTCCTTCCGAGGAGTGGCTGGTGGGTTTGAACCACCAGCCTTCTGGTTAGCAGTCAAGTGCCTTAGGCACTATGCTACCAGAGCTCCCGACAATTTAATAGGAAGGAGAAAATTAGGATAACACATGTCTTATTAAAAGCAGAAATACTGAGCTGTAGATTTTAAACACTAGAATAAGAATAGGAAAAATCAAGTAGTTCCTTCCTAATATGTCTTTAACAATAGGAAAACTACAACAAGAAAAAAAATAATAAAACATAATCTGATTTAATATTGATACAATTTCTTCACAGTAGAATGGAGTCACCCACCTAGAGTTTTCTCTAGTCATATTAAGTTAGAGTGGGCTATTTTTGGCTTCTGAAAATTAAGGTTATAATCAATGGACAATCACTAACGCCTCAAGTACAGCCTATCTTTTCCCAATTCTGTCCTTCCCTCTCCACTTGCACAATTGACATAACCTACCACATACTTCCCAGTTGTTAGAACCTCTAATTCTGCATGACTATCACTATCACCTTCACCATCAGCATCAGCATCCACCCCAACCAAGTCTTCCAATATCATTCAGGGTAAGAGGCCCTTTTCTGCTCTACGATCATTCAGGTTAATTCTTGATTAGGGTCATCATTTTTGGTTTAGTGTGACAAAGTACGAGTTATTTTGGGCACGTTTTTGCTCTGGAGTATTCTTTCTAGATTTTAAAGGCTTGATTTACAAAGAATCCATTCAGATCTGGGGAATTGTCTAAACTGATCGGATGGTCAAATTGAGATTCAATGAGATCTTCCAGACCTAGACTAGTGCAGAGCTAGTCACATGTAAATATGCCATAGATGGCCCAGACTGCAATTGCCTAGTGTCCTTCTGCTTCTCAGAAAACTCCTCTTTTCATATAATCTCTGTTATTTAATTTGACTGTAATTCAATTTACCTGGTTTTTATTTATTTATTATTGAATTTTATGGTTCATTGCGCTTACTTGTACCGAATTCTTTTTATTTTAATTTCAGATTTTAATCTGTATTCAAAACATTTCCCAAAGTGGTTTCTGTTCAAATCTGTAAAAACTCAAATGAAGAGCAAATTAAGATGGACAGAAAATAGGACAAAATGTAAGTTATCTCAATCAAGTTCTATGTTTGAGCCCATAAAGTAGGCTGGTTTCCTCAAGGCAGAGCACTTTCAAAGTGTAGAGCAATAAAAACAAAATGCAATGATATTTTTTCTTCTTTTTTTCAATTTGGAATTCTTTCTATTTCAAAGACTACCCTGCCCCACCTTGCTGTAAATCAGTCTCTTAGACTTGATCACTCACTCTGCTTCCTGTTTTAAGTAGTCTTTTTTTTCCTTTTTTTTTTTTTTGCCTTTGTTTTAAAGAGCTCATTCCTTTAAACCCATACTTTTAAGGATCATCATTAAATATCATATTACTGCCTGGTAAGAAATATAAGTGTAAAACAGATTTTGACATAGATTTCAAGCTCTTGTCTTGCAATCTAAAGAGGAAATAGCTCATAGGTTACAAACAGAAATTGAGGGAAAGTCAGCTTTCATAATAATCTGCTGAGCTCCAACTAAGTAAACACCACAATTTCACCTGTTCCACGCATTACTCAGAAAACTATTCAGTTCTTCAAACTCAAGAATGTAGTCTCTAAAAGTCAGCACATGGATAATTTTTAAAGTGAATTTTACCCACTAAATCTGGCTTTTTCTCTTGAAAATTTTAATTAAAGGAGAATAACTATTTATCCTTTTCTCCTTCTAAAAGTTAAGTATATCATTGGCATTTGAGTTATTTTTGTACTTACTAATTAGAATAAGTATTCAGATCACACTAAAATGTGATTTCTGACGCTATCATGAAGTAGTTGCTGTTAAGGGCAATTTTTCAGTCTAAGTTTTTATCTCAGTTCACTGAAGAGTAATTGCTGTGTCATACTTCAAAGAAGCCCTGGTGGCACAGTGGTTAAGTGGTAGGCTGCTAACCTAAAGGTTGGCAGTTCAAACCCACAAGCTGCTCCTTGGGAGAAAGATGAAGCAATCTGCTTCTAAGATATTTGTAGCCTTGGACATGCTATCGAGCAATTCTACTCTGCCCTATGGGTTATGATGAGTCAGAATCAACTTGACAGCAATAGGGCAGGTCATGCTTCACAAAATATATGCAACAAGAAGAAAAGGAAATGAATGTTTTTAAAAGATTTGCATGACATCCAAAAAGATAAGAGTTTCTCCTTAACCCAGCTTATTTGCAATGAATTATCCCACTGCTCAATGGGCATTTCATGCTATTTGGCAGAACCCACAAAACTAAGAGAAACAAGCAATAGAGGTGTAAACTCCTCCTCAACAGGTGAGTTGTGACAGTGAGTTAGAAATAAAAATGACTAGGAAGCAAAAAGCCTAAGCTTTTTGGCTTTGATTCACCACGAAGGCTCAGAGTTCTCAGGGTAGAGCAAATAAAAATAGAATGTAGTCTCTGAGGTGACGTGTCAATAAGCAAAACTATTAGACTGAATGTGAAATTTTAGGTGGTAAAACTTCCTATAAAAAACTCTAAGAAATACGTACCTCCATCCTTTAGCTGTCTTTTGAGGTTGGTCACTTAAAGTGTAGCCATATGGACCATCTGCTGGGTAAAAGCACCAGGGCACATTGGCAAGGTTTGTAGAACACCAGAAACAGCCTTTAGCTTCACAGGCTTCCCGAGTGGCCCCAGGTTGAGGATGACAATCAACGCGCTTATGAAGAGGAAATCTTGTGATGCATTCAGCCTCCTCTTTGGAGTTATAGAAGCAAAACGGAACAGTGGCATTGTCAGTGGGACACCAATGACATCCACGGTTCTCACAGGAAGCTTCATTTGCCTCTGGTTCCAGATAACAGTCAACTCGTTCAGAGACAGGTACTGCAGAACATGCATCAACTCCCTCGAAACACCACGGGATGCCTGGGGTTTTAAATGGGGACCAGCAGCAATTCCTGGCCAGACAGCTGACTTCAGAAGCTCCAGGGTCAGGGTGACAGTCCTTCCGGAGGTGAGGGGGTAGAGAAACTGAGCATAAACTTGAACTCACAGGTGAGGCTAGAACTGCACCAGGAAGGAAAACAGGAGGGTAAATGTAAAGATATCTAGAAAATGTTATAATCCAAACACTTTTGTCCAACTTTTAATTAGTACCCCTCAATTGCTTAGCTTGTGAGTGGAATAGTCAGTGATACTAAAAACTATTATGACTGTCAGCCTAGGTAAAGTAAAGCAAAACAAAGAGCTATCCCTTTAAAAGTCAATACTAACATTTAATCATCACGTCTTGTGTTCTTAGCAAAGAGCTCTAGTGGTACAGTGTCTAAAGCATACAGCTGTTAACCAAAAGGTTGGTGGTTTGAACTCACCAGCCACTCCAAAGATGAGGCTGTCTGCTTCCATAAAGATTTACAGTCATGGAAATCCCATGGGGCAGTTCTACTCTGTTGTATGAGGTCACTATGGGTCAGAATTGATTCAATGGCAGTGGGTTTGCTTTTTGATTTTATATTCTAAGTGTGCTTATACTTTATTGTCTGCACAACCTTAGATAATACTTACTTATTATCATCTTCTAAATGTTACCAAATGAATTTTATAAAAGTCTAAATAATTATTTCTTTTCTGTTTGCCACATCTTCTGTCATTTATAGACTGGATACCAGCTGTCAGGCCTTCAATAATAAGAGCTCAGAAACGTCTATACATTCTGCCTCCTGACTAAATGACAAAAGTCCCTCAAAAATGCCACAATATTGGTACATTTTTCATCCTCTTTCTTCTGTGGCTTCTCATTTTTAAAAAGTCTAGATCTGTGCTGCAGATGGTAATGCTTTTCTCACCTTTTATTTGGGAAAGTGTTATTATATTAACGTAATCAGTTTCACAGATTACTAATCTTTGTCTCCCAAATCTAATCTAATTGGATAAAATATATAAATATGATACAGTTCATCTCTGCAACTCCAATACCACAAATGGAATGCAGTCATGATTTAATCAATATTTTAATAGCACTCATGAGCAAGATTTTGATCTTTTATTTGTTCTATCACAAATAATTTCTAAGTAATTTTTTTAATTTCATGTATAGTTCATTGATCACCTGCCTCAGAATTGCCTATCAAGTTGGTAAACATATTCTGTTTTGGAAAATGAGTACTCTCATTTGTATATTGCTAATGAAGGGAGCTCTGGTAGCATAGTGGCTAAGACACTTGCCTGCTAACCAGACAGCTGGCGGTTCAAACCCACCAGCCACTCCTCGGAAGGAAGGTTGGGCAATCCTACTTCCGTAGTGATACTGCCTCGGAAACCCAAGGAGGGGTCGCTATGAGTCGGGGCCGACTCGACGGCACATAACAACAACAACAACAACAATGAAGATGCAAAATTTCACAAGTCCTATGGAAAGGAAAAGAAGTTCTGGTGGTGTAGTGCCCAAGGCATTTGACTGCTAACCAGAGAGTTGGCGGTTCAAACCCATCAGCCACTCCGTGGAAGGAAGACTGGGCAATCTACTTCCGTAAAGATTTACCGCTCAGAAACTGAATGGGCATCGCCCTGAATCAGAATCAATTCAATGGCAGTGAGTATGTTTGTTTGTTTGTTTTTTGGTTTTATGGAAAGAAATGTAACAATATCTACCAAATTACATATGCTTTTGATCTTTGACCAGAAATCCCATTTCTACCGATTTATCCCAAAGATGCACAAAGACACTTATCTGAAGTATTATTTGTAATGGCAAATAATATACAAAATGTTCTTCAGCAAAAAACTGATTGAATGAATTATGGACTGTGCAGTCATAAAAATGAATGGCAAAAACGTCTATGTACTGATAAATGGAGTGATCTCATGATATATTAAGTTGGAAAAAACAAGGTACAGTGCTTATTGAACGCTATCTATTCTGCAAGAAAGGGGAGATATAAATTTATATTTTCATTTGTTTATAACTTCAAATGGAAATAATTGAAAGATAAACCAAAAACTAATAAAAGTAGTTACATATCAGGGGATGGAGAAGACAAGAATTATTCTTTGTTGCTGGTGTTGTTATGTGCCGTCAAGTCAGACCCGACTCATAGTGACCCCTCCTTAAGTTTCTGGGGCAGTATCACTATGGAAGTAGATTGCCCAACTCGCCTTCTGAGAAGTGGCTAATGGTTTTGAACCGCCAGCCTTCTGGTTAGCAGTCAAGTGTCTTAGGCACTATGCTACCAGAGCTCCTAATTATATAATTTTTACGTTGGAATCATGTAAATAGTTTTACCTGACAACAAAACAAAATTAATTTGAAAAGAAAAATAAAAAACCTATTGCAGTAAACTGAACACATACTAAAACAAATGCACTTGTTCATCACATTGATAGCATACTCATACATAACAAAGGAATTACTTTAAGAGCCTATAAAGCAAATATTTAACTGTGTATCGCTAATGTGCATATTCAAAGGGTAACCCACAAAGAAATTTTGACCTGAATCCATTGGTCTTATTGTTATTAGCAATACTGATGTTTTTACTTTGAAACAATTATAAATATATTATATCCTAAAACAAGTATTTATGGAAATGACCTTAAGAAATAATATATCAGCATGAGAGAAAAGAAATCCAAGTATAAAATAATTTTTAAAATTTTATTTTGAAATATTAGCAAGACGTTATGATTTACCATTATCTTTTATAAACCTGCATAGTTTCTGTCTACTAAAAAAAAAAAAAACTAGAAGCAATGATAACATATTAACAATGAGTTGTTTTAGAATCTAGACTATGGTTTCTAACTATCATTCCTCACAAAAGAAAACAAGGCCGTTGGTGAAAATGGCTGATTCTAGATCTAGGATAAAGAATGTATGAAGATAGCCTAAACTCTAAACCAAACCAAACTCACTGCCATCAAGTTGACTTAGACTCATAATGACCTTGGGTTTCCGAGGTGGTATCTCTATGGAAGTAGATTGCCAAGTCTTCCTTCTGAGGAGTGGCTGGTGGGTTTGAACCACCAGCTTTCTTCTGGTTAGCAGTCAAATGCCTTAGGCACTACCCCACCAGAGCTCCTAAGGATAGCCTAACACATATTTATATTCAACAAATAAAGGAAAGCATCAGACCCAACTGACACCAGCTTGAAAAGCATAAAATAGGACAATCTGAAACCCCAAAATAAAAAAGATTGATTTAATAGAAAGACAGATATAGATAAAAGATAGAAATAACAGAAAACATATTGCAATGAAAATTGATAACTGAGGAAAAGAATCACACATTTTTCCTCTTTCTCTCATAGAAATTCTTTTAAAGGGTTATCAAATAGTTGATAAGGCCATTTTTAAACAGAATTTTAGCTAATTAATACACAAGAAGTTATAGAATTAGAAAATCCTCATTTTGCAACTCATAATGAGGTAATCTATATAGATGATTCCACATGGGATCGTCAATGGGTAGTAAAATTATAAGGTGAAAGTTAATAAAGAATTTTATAACTGAAGGATCGTTCTAACACCACACCATTCCACTTATCAATTCTAGTATCTCTGAAAGTGAGAAAACAAGTGATACTGGTTTGCTTTTTTTTTCTTTGTTTTTAATTTAACTGTATTTGTTACAACCTTTTGATGCAGCACTACGTTTGCACTCACAAGCTTAGTGGAGTTACTTGTCAAACAGCCTTTACAGTAGCCTAGGTAGTCATATAATTATGCTACTCTAAACAATACTCCCCTCCCCCTTTTGGAAAACAAGCCCTATGGATATACTTACTACCATAGAGTTGTTTGAGCATAACATACTAATTGCTAGAGACCTGGTACATACAGAGTTGATAACTACAGGGTTAGTTTGCCTTTTTATGTGATGTAATTGGAAGTTCTCAGTACCACCTATGAAGTATTCTTTTCAAAAATCTTTGAGCATGAACCTAATCAAGTTTCAAAACCCAATGACCAGTGTCAGGAAATACAGAAGATAGGGGAAATATAAGGACAGAGGGATAGTTGAGTGGCACCATCCCAAAGAACTGATCCATCAAATCCAGAATGTGGGATTTTCTTAAAAAAAGAAAAGAAAAGAAAAGAAATGTGGTTTACTATTGTAAAATAAAATAGACTTAAGAATCTGAACAATCAAATGTATAGAGGGGAACCATGAGCTTTGACGGAAAAAACATTACATCCATTTCACTAATTCTAACTAAAATTTAGCATTTCCTTCAATTATGAAAGTAGGCAACAAAACAAAGCAATATTAGCAGCATGTGTCAATTTGTCACAGGTACAAATTAAACTTTTCAGCTATTTCTGTGTCATATTACAGGCCTTGCAAATGATCTCATAATACTGTTTAAGCTTATCATAACTTTGAAATCATGACTGTTATAAAACCTGATGTTGGAGCTTGTTATTTAGTGTATTAATAATGAAGCAAATATATTGGTGTATCACAAATTTTTTTTTAATATTTTGTAAGGATTTTCAATATAGTTAGTTTTATGATCCTATGTATTATATTTTATGCATTTAAAAAATATTTGAGAAAGATTCCCTACGTTTCATCAGACTCCCATGGCGTGTGCATATATACATACACATATACGTACACATGAATGTTAAAAATCCCTACAAGACTATCTGTGCCCACCTAGCATCAGGAAAATCATCATATATGTCCAAGAGAATGGATATTGCACTAAGTTCACTGCTCCAATTCATATGATTGAATTAGTAATATTTATCCTTATATTTCTCCATAATATAAAATGCCAACCACAATAAACAGAAAATTTCAATTTCTCACTTCCATTTCTCAAAATTCAAGCCAAATTAATAATATCACTAAATGAACAACTTCATGCATAGACATCTAGGCATCATACTAACTTATCAATGTGTCAGTTCAATCTGTACTCAGGTTGTTATTTCATCTATTCTTCTGTCCATCTGAGCTTCCCATTCAATTTTTCCAGCTTATCACTGAAATTCTCATCACTGCTCTTCTATCCTTCCCCAATATACATCCTCCTTTGCATCAACTGTAGGGTTTCCCCCTCAAGTCAATCATGGCTCTGGTATTCACAAGCTATATGACTTCAGGTAAGCTACTCAAACTTCCTAATTATTATTGGCAAGACTAATATAGAAATCTAATAATATATAATATGTAGAGATCATGATTAAAGTACTAAATCCTAAATCCAACACTTAATCTCATCTCATGGGGGTTTTTGTGAGGTTAAATCAATTAATATATGTTAAAGTTTTTGATAAGCAACTGACACATGATAATTCCTCTTGGTATATTAGTTGTTATTTACATAAATATTTTACACATATACTATATATTTTTCACATATACATAGTGCTTAACACTGTAAACAGGCACATATTACAAATGCTTACCTGTTATTAGCAATAAACAGGAAATCCTTAAAGTCCTTTGGAAATTCATCAAGGACAAAAGATACTAAGCACTGAAAATTAGGTCACTGATTTATCAGTTTGTTGTTGTGGGTTTTGTTTGTTTGTTGTGTTAGGTTTTGATTTAAAAAATTGTTAAGACAAAAATTATCAAAAGTAAGTCACTTACCTGCCACAATCATGGAGCAAAAACGGAGGAGTTTCATGGCCTTCATAGTCCCAGTAAAGTGATACTTATTCGTGGCATGTGGTATATTTATATGGGACAACTTGAATAAATTGTTATGACCTTGATTTTTTTTCTAAAGAGCAATGAGGTATAACCCAGGCCAAGAACAAATCCTTGAAAGTCTTCCCACAAGATTACCAATGTCTGGCACTACCATGGAATGGAAAGACAGGAGATTAGTATATAAGGGGCTTGGGGTTTAATCTAGCTCTCCCCTAGCTGTGGTAGCCTGCATGTATTATTTAACCTTTATGAACTGAGTTTTCTCCATCTGAAAAATGAATCTAATACCTGATCTGCCTATTTCATGGGGTTGGTTTGAATATCCTAGATACAATAATACTGTAATAATGCAAACAACAATAAAAACATCAATCTGATATGACCTATGTACATTGGCCTATTAATGGGAATATGAACTAGGTAAAATAAATTACAAATGACTTCAACTTTTTTTTTCAAATGAATTTCATTTTTCTTCCAAAACTTTGAAATTTCCAGCCACGTGGGTATTTTAAGCTATTCCTAGTTGACCAAAAATTCAACCACAGTACTTTGGGGGTCAATATGTGGTTGGGAGAGTTGACTTAGAGAATAACTTTAGTTAACCAAAGTCACAGATGGTTATTTTTTAACCACCCCCACCCCAATATCAATGAAGGATGATCATCTTACATGTAAGCAAATGGACAACTGCATAGATGGTGAAATTGAGGAAACTATCCCCTAGTGTTCTTAGGAAGCGACCTGCTCGTGGCCTTCCCCGACATTATCAAACCACAGCATGAGACTTTTTCTTCAGGCTAGAAAGTCCTAGTGACAGAGACACAAGGGCTAAGAGTTGTTTTTTCAGTGGAAGTAATGAGATTCTTTTTAACTTAAGAAAATAGAAAGGAAAATCTTATTTAAAAAAAAAAAAAAAAACAGAAAGGAAGTACTCTGGAAGAAGTAGTAAAAAGAAACAACTTTCCATTAATCCATCACATTAATTAATTGGATTAGTTCATTATCAACAGGGAAGCTTTATCCCATGTGGCTAAGGTACAGAGTATTTAGATAAATAGAGAGAACAAGCTCTGGTGTCTAAGAAACATGGCCTAGGACACCAGGGGCTCTAAATCCTGTAATGGGGGTGGGGAAGGGGCATTTGGCAACAAACTTCAGTGAAAAGCACTAGAACTGAAAAAGCAAAGACAAGGCTTGTCTCTCACAAATTTACAGAAGAATATCTTAATCACCTTAAGTCAGAAACTGATTCTGTTGGCAAATACAGTGATATTTCAACTGGCACCTTCCTGAGAACTGAGTTCCTTGTAATAAGTTCTACCTGGACACAGTGGAATTCAGAATGGATTAGAGGAGTTCTGAGTTCCAGCACCAAACAGCAGATCTGAACCATATCTGAACCACATTTTTGTGATTTAAACGGAGCTGCTGAAGTGTGGTAGGAAGAAAGCTGCATGTTGTCCTCTGTGCTATTACTTCCTACACATTTATAATTCCAGCTACAAAGATCCTGACAACAAACTGCCTTGAGAACACTGAATCTGTGTGTAGAGATATGAATGTATGACCTAAGTCCCTTGGTGGCAGGAGGGTATATAAGATAGTTTATCTAAAGGAATTATAGGCAGAGATATTTAAAAAGCCAATAGGTATAGTATTCATATTTGTCATCCAGTTGAATATTTCTGTTGGTAAACCAATCATACTTATTTTTTCATCTGCTATAGACCAAGTCAGGAACCTTGAAAACAGTGGCCTACATGCTTATCATATATTTTCAGCTTCAAAGGACTTTTCATATGGATAATGTTCCGAGGAACGGATCTCTATCTCTATGGAAATAGATTGTCCTATCTTCCTCTTGAGGAGTAGCTGGTGGGTTTAAACCACCAGCCTTCTGGTTAGCAGTCAAATGCCTTAGGCACTATACCACCCGAACTCTCAAATGTCCATGTAGTTAGCAGAAATTTAAGTAGAAAAGCTAGCATTTTACCACTTTTCAATTACACAAATTAGGAGATACAATAACCTATGGAAAAAAAATTTCTATCTGTTTAAAAACTTGTCAAGTTCTTATAGATATGTAGTACCCATATTTCTGAATCAAAACAATATAACGTGAAAAATTTGAATTTACAGAGAAACATACAATGTCTAGAATTCAAACAGAATGAGAAAACCTTACATACAAAAAATCTTAAGGCTTGATTATTTTTGCTCAATGTGACAAATCAAGAAATGGTCACAAATATTAACTATGCATTGCTTTACCATACATATTTTATTAAAAGTATAAGTCTATGTTAGAGTCAAATTCAGTGTACTTTCAAAAAAGTAGTTTTGAAAATCTGCATTATGGCTGTAATTCAGAAATATACCTACAAATATTATTTGCATATATGGTATTACAAAAAAAAAACCTCACTACCATTGAGTCGATTCCAATTTATAATGACTCCTATCAGGTTTCCAAGGCTACAAATCTTTACAGAAGTAGTTTGCCTCATCTTCCTCCCATGGAACAACTGAGGGGTTTAAAGTGCTTACCTTTTGGTTAGTAGCCCAATACCTTACCCACTATGACACCAGAGGTCCTTTATATGCTATTACATGTATATAAATATTAATAAAGTTTTTTAAAAATTTAATGGATGACTTGTAATTAGAGGTTTGTTCAAATTTACTGTCATAAACTTAAAGCTTCCATAAATTTTTTGGTCATATGATATTTTTCACTAGGTAGCAAAATATGTGTGTGTGTGAGTGGCTGGTGAGTTTGAACCTCCAGCCTTCTGGTTAGTAATCAAATGCCTTAGGTACCAAGCCACCAGAGTTCCAGAGCTCCTAATACATACTAATATATATACGATTTTATCTTTATTTCTAGATGTGTACTTAAAATTCCCAGCTGTATTTACTTATTTTAAATATTTATTTATATGTGTTTAATACATTCTGAGGAAGGAACAGATGTGTATAAAGAAATTTATATTAAGATCATCCTTAATTAGTTGTAACAACCTCCTTAATTCCTTAGGATAAAAATTGTATAGTTCTACAAATGCTAATCTTTGTCAACTGTGTTATATCACTGTTATAATATGAAAGCCTAAGGACAAATCAGATTACTCATCATAACTTTATTAAGATAATTTATCTTAAAATTCCAACTAAAGTAAAATTTAACATCTTAAACATTTATTGTGGTATATATTTACTAACTTGATTATAATCACCCCTTTTTGACAATCCCATTAACATATTTTGCTGATTATATAAAGCACCATATTTTTTATACATGTTAACAGGGAACTGCTATTTTAAGCTTATATAAACAGATATCCTAATATACTCTGTCTCTCATTTTTCAAATTGACATATAGATCAGAAACATCCATCAATTCCTAGGGTTCCATATATTTAAGTAGGAAAACATGCTTATGAAAGCATTCTGGATACTAAATCCAAATAAGAGAGATATTGAAATGGAATATTTAGGAGATCTTCTAATGAGGAAAATAGCTGGATCTCATAATACAACAGAAATGGGGAAAGAAGGTCAGCACTAAATCATAAATTGCTCCAAACTTCATCCTTCATGTATTGGTGATTTGGAGATGAAGGAATGAGAAAGCAGACAGGTGACAGCTTTTTATTTATCATGTGCATTTGAACAATCTGGGAGATTGTTTTCTTTTTTGGCCCGTGTGTGTGTGTGTGTGTGTGTGTGTGTAGAGGGGACCTCTGGTAGCATAGTGCTTAAGGCATTTGACTGCTAACCAGGAGGCTGGTTATTCAAACCCACCAGCAACTCATCAGAAAGAAGATGGGATGATCTTCTTGTGTGGTGATACTGCCTCAGAAACCCAAGGAGGGATCACTGTGAGTTAGATCCAGCTCTATGGGAGTGAGTTTGGTTTTGGTTTTTGGTGGAAGACTTTAAAAAAATATATACATATGCATGAATAGAAGGGCAGTTTCTCTCCTTCCAGATTCTTATATAACTCCAAAATTGTTTTTATCACATTTATACCCAGCTCCCCTTAAAGATACTTCCTAATGATATGCTTTTGGCTCAGAAACAAAATTTTATATTATACGTTTAAGAAAACTATTCATTTGATAAATACTTACTGAGTACCTACTGTAGGCCAGGCACTGCCTGGGCGCTGAGGACATAACTAGGAACTGTTATTAGGTGTTGTCTAATTGCTTTTGACAGGAGCTCTGGTAGCATAGTGCCTAAAGCACTTGACTGCTAATCAGAAGCCTGGCGGTTTAAACCCACCAACCAATCCTCAGAAGGAAGGTTGGGCAATCTACTTCCGAAGTGATACTGCCTCGGAAACCCAAGGAGAAGTCGCTATGAGTCGGTCTGACTCCATGGCACATAACAGTTGCTTTTCGACACTTGTCGACATAGTGACCCCATATGACAGAGTGCCCCATAGAGTCTTCTATGCTGTAATCGTAATAGGAGCAGATGATCAGGTCTTTCTCCTCTAGAGCTACTGGATGGGTTCCAACCGCCAACCTTCTGATTAGCTGGCAGATGCTTAAGCATTGTACCACCAGGGCTCCTTAGATAGAGAGAGAGAGACAAATCCTGTCATAGACCTGGCAGGGTGCTAAATGTAGTAAATGGGGGACTTCCTGGGAGCAGTGGAGGGATATAAGAGATCAATAGCATTATCAGATAACAGGGGTTTTCATGTTAATATGGCTTATAGTAACATGAAATCTATGTATTCACATACAGACTCAAACTTCACTTTTTAGTTGAGATTTCATACACTTAAGTACAGTTTACAACAGTAGGCAAAAGTTGTTGGTATTGTTTGTGCATTGGTTGAATTATCTTCAGAAATATATCATTTTTAAAAACAACCACTGTCAATTATTTTACCAAATAAAAGGAAATGACACTTTATTCAGCAATAAGGAGAAATAAAGTTCTGGTGCATGCTACAACATGGATGA